TGGATAGAGAAGTGGGTTAATGGGCCAGTGATGGATGGGCCGGCCCGTTTTCTCCGGTGACTAATGACGACCTCTTCACTTTTCTGAGATTTGGGTTCCTCTTCTGTTTTGAGGGGGTGATTGAGCTTGCCTGGAGAGGGTCATCTTTGTGAATCAGCTTCACCTTTGAACTACTTCTAAATTTTCTACGTCCAAAATTGTTAAAACACTCTTTTAAAAAAGTTATCTGACACCGGCATGGATTTCCATGTAGGTTTATGCTTCACAATTAGCCAAAAAATCACTTAGTGGTTGGTCACATTTATAATATGTTGGAAGCCAACGATGGTCGGAAGTTTCCTCATTACCAGCACAATTTAACAGAACGAGCGGCTATAGTTATAAACTATGCTTTTAATTTGCCTTTGGCTAAGCCACGCCCTAGAATGTAGATTGACCAATCACAGCGCAGCCAAGAACGAGCTCCCACAGAGGTCGGACACTTTTTCGCAGCACTCCATTGACTTTCAACACAGGCGGCCGCGTCTCATATTTTTGGTCTCGGCAGGATATTACCGTCGTAGTTTTATCCAAAATATGGTTAAACGTTGTGCCTCGGGCATTTGTAACACAGATACGCGTTTCCCAGAGAGGTTGGAGGGGGGTGTCCGTTTTTTCCCTTCCCAAAACCGAAGTCAAATCCTGACAAGTGTCGTCTTTGGATTAAACATATGGACGTCCTCAGTCACCTAAACCCCACAAACATCAACAAGCACATCTTTTTTGCTTCTAACCTTACTGTGAAGTTATACTAGTTAGTTAGACCGTTTTATAATGTTTTAGGTTAAGATTTCGGTTCTCATACCGGTTGTTGATACGCTAGCACACGCTGCTAATAAACACAACGTTATACTCGTGTAGTCCGTTTGCTTTGTAATAACGATTATAGAAGTGAATAGAGACCTACCAGCTTTGCATGAACAGTGTTGCTCCCTGATATTGTTAGTCCCAGCCTCCGTCTCGATTAGTAGGAAATGCGGTGGTTCATTTTTTGACTGTGACCGGTAACGTTATGCTTTTGCCTCTAGCCTATTTGGATGCCTTGTTGTTTCTTGTGTTTCACCTGTATGTCTTGAATATAGCCTCCGAATGCATATTGCAGGCCCTTTTTGCCCACTTCTATCGGACACTTTATTTGCTGCTTCATAAAAGTTTGATAACATTTCAGAGCTGTCACAGCATAAGCCACGCAGAGCGCAGATGAAGTTTGACGGATGTAGCAACAGTAACTAAGGGGGGCGGGGCTTAGCCAAAGGTGAATTATGCTAATATGCAACAGTTGGCTGCTGCCTCTCCTTTTGTTTCGTTGTTTATGTCTATCACGATTAAAGTTACATTTAACATTTGCCGGTTCTCGCTTCTTTCCTCCCTTAACTTAAACTCTGTTATAGTTGTGTTTGATCACTTAGATTCACATTATTTATTTTTTTTCTAAACATTGTTGGAAACACTTGGTAGAATGGAAGTACACACTTCAACAAAAATTCTAAAACTGTCCCAGTGGTTTTGGGATATTTTAATGCAAAATTCGTATATATCGTGCCTTTAAAAGAAGTTAAACTTTTCAAAGTGCATCATGAGATCTGTGCCCCAGTAGAAACAGAGTTGAGGAATGCCCCAGTTTTACATTCAGGTGTTTAAACACAAGTTTGAGAGCCATATACACTTACATGATTGATTAGGCTGCTACCAAATATATACACACATGCTGCATCATGGTCTGTGTTTACAAGTTTTACTACTAGTTTTGACAACCTGTTTTAAAGTCTTAATTCAACAACTTTATGGCTGTTAAATAAACTATGTAACAACTAAAATTCCTTACCATTAATAACTTATTATTACTAATACGCAGTGGTGGAATGTAACGAAGTACAAATACTTTGTTACTTTACTTAAGTACATTTTTCACGTATCTTTACTTTACTTAAGTACAATAAATAGTGCATACTTTTTACTTTTACTTCGTTACATTTTGCAGCAATTATTATACTTTCTACTCCACTACATTTCTACAACTTCTGTTACATTTTCGTTACATTTTCTGATCAGTTTTTCCCCTGCCAAAACGTAATCTGACCGTCCGTTCGTTGCACGTTTGTCTCACCAGTGACGTTTGGTTGCCATAGATACAGTATATCAACCCGGTCAGTGTGTTTATCGTGCAACTCGTACGCGAAAATTTGTTTTTACGTGCATAGGAAACACACCGTGTGTAGTATTAGTTTGGTTTGGTTAGGATTATGGCAAGCCAAGAGGTTCATAATTACACCATAAATTAATCTCGTTTACTGCCAAACATAGTTATTATATAGTAAGGATAAGCATGATGTGTATATTGCCTAATTGCAAGCTTGTTTCAGAAATGGTGACATTTTTTTCCATCATTATTGAACATCATTATAGGAGTAGGCTATTAGGTTGAATGAGTTAGAATTAAATGTTTTATTAATCATTAGAAAATAGACATTAAGATAATAAATTGTTATGCAAGTACTTTTACTTTTAATACTTAAAGTACATTTAAAATAAAGTACTTTTTACTTTTTACTTAAGTATGGTTGTCATTGTGTTACTTCTACTTTTGCTAAAGTAAATATTTATCTGGGTATTTGTACTTTTACTTAAGTACTGAGATTCAGTACTTCCTCCACCACTGCTAATACGCAGCTTCAGAGCTAACTTGAGAGCGCAACAAAAAATTGAAACTTGTGAAAAAATACAGTATTTGTTTTGTTCTGTGACCTTGTCTCGGTTTTGTTTAAAAACCACCAAGTTTAAGGGATTTAAAGGCTATTTTCTGTCTTGGAACTATTGGCCAAATTAGCCATTGGGTCTGGCACCAGCATTGGCAGTGTGTCTGTGAAAAAAAAAAGAAATGTGATTGAGAGAGTACAGTGACCCACAAGTTCCTACTCTATTAAGCCCTCTCAGGACTCTGTAAATAAATGGGAACTACTTCAATCACCTCTAGTTGACCCCAAAAGAGTCACACATTGTCTGAATGCTACTGTCTGTGCGGTAAGAAGTTTGATAAAAGGTGCCCTCTTAATCCGTCTGTAGTTATCAGCGCCCACAGTTTAGAGCTCAGGTCACGATGACGGACAAAGCAGCTAAAGGGCCACGGGTCTCTTTGATCGTCTGTGCTTCCCCATTTCGGACCATTGTTCTTCGCTCATCTCTCCCATAGCCAGTCAGACCCCATGTACACACACCTAAATCAATCTGATTACTATGATAAAGACTTACCCTGCTTTCGTTTCATTTCATTTTCATTTTCATTTCAAAGGAGTGTTAGTCCAGATCCAGCGCTAAATTATGATTATTATCACTCAGGGAGGCAGGCTGATTCATTTCCAAGAGGGACGACTGCCACAGACCCAGAAACACTTCAGCTGATGTGAGGAAGCACAGATCAAAGCAACGAGTGGAGAACAGGGGGAAGGGGAGAGAGAGAAAGAGAAAGAGAAAGGGAGCGCAGAAAACAAACATGCAGGCTGTTCACAGAGAAGATTGCACATAAATTAGCCATTCACGGCTCTAATTCACCAACTTAAGGCCGAAACATGTGTCGTACTGCGGCCTTTTCTCTTGGAGTAGACTGATTTTATTTGTCAGCTCACTCATTCTTTTAGACCATCTTCTAAATCATTTATCAGGTCAGCATCATTCAGAGCATTCAGTGCCCTTATATACAGAGCCAAGCCACTTGAGAAAAATATGTGTGCCAATTTTAATCATTTCTGTTGTTTAGAATGCAAATCTTAGTGTTGATTTAGACACGTTTATAATAATTCAAGTTACTCACTTTAAATGATTTAGGTATGAACACACTGTATATTTTGGTAACACTTTCCCGGTCCCGGTAAAGGCAATTTCTACAAAAAAATTCTAAACATGTTATAAATGTATTGCTTAAACATATTACGAAGACTGTGAACTGTGAAGTACTGAAATGTGGAGTTAGACCGTTAAACAGATTTTCACTATTGCTATTTTACGGATTTTTTTGGGCGGGGCTAAAACAGGGCTCGATGACGCACTGGAGCCCCTTAGCTCGTGGACACGCCCCTATTTGATGACGCACTGAGGCTGGTTCACTGATAATCCACTTTTACTGGTGAACAGGGGCGAACCGACTAACTCCTGCCTCGGCTTTCATCCTCCCGTCCCGAAAGCAGTTTCACCTAATATCACCGTCGGCAGTTTTCCCGCGAGTGGGCGTGGTTTCAGCGCAGCTAGTGGACACGCCCCCAGCGTTTGAGAGCAGAGAATACAGCTCATTTTTTCAAGATTGTGATAGCTTATTTTATGTGTAAAGCCATCAAATTTGGCTGGGTAACATGAACTAAGAATGAACAAAATGTCTACTGCGTTTTAATGTTAACTTTCAACATTTACTAGTTCATATTTAAAAACAATTGGATTTTTTTACATTAGTTAATAGACTGTGAACTACATGAACAAAGAAATGAACTGGATTTGTCTTAACTAATGTTATCAAAGATCAATAAATACTTTAACAAATGTAGGCTATTGCTTATTGTTAGTTCATGTTAAGTAATACATGAATTAATTGTAAGAAATAACGACGCATTGCCTATTTTTATTTCATTTCAATACAGTCAGCAAACTTGTATTCACAACTCACAAAAAAAAAATATGATTCAGCTTTGCCATCACAAGGACAAATACATTTTAAAATATATCAAATTGAAATAATATTTCACAACTTAACTGTTTTTACTATATTTTTATATCAAATAAAGCAGCTTTGGTGAGCATAAGTCTTAACGACCTTAAAGTTTTGAACGGTACACAGCCACAGGAAATAGGCTGAGTTTGATATTAAGATTAGATTTTTTATGTCACTGATTTCAAACCCGATTTTTTTTTTTTTTAAACACAATGTTTATTAATTGAATGTTCTGATAACATTTCTCCCGACGTGTTCCTCCCAGATCTCAGTCCAGCCCTGTGCCTAGAGGCTTGTGTGGGATCATGATGCTCAGCAGCTCAGTGGATGTACCCAGTCCAGGAGGGATGAGCGCGGTGGCGGCCCGGAACGTGATCCGCAGTTCCAGCATCAGCGGGGCCATGTACAGTGTGGAGAAAAGCCCCAGCAGCACGGGGCCCGATGCCACAGGCCTGGTCGGAAACAAGAAGCGTCGCTCCAGCCTGGGAGCCAAGATGGTGGCAATCGTGGGTCTGTCACAGTGGAGCAAGAGCACGCTGCAGCTTAACCAGCAAGGTGGGCAGCTTTGAATACTGTTTCCTTTGCTTCTGTTTGCTCTCATGTCACAGCCTGAGCAATTTAACGGTATTATTTATCATTCCTGCATAGAGTTTAGTTTTGTTTTTATCTTCACCTCTACTCAACTTTCTTATCTTAGTTCCAAGTTTCACAAGGTTACCAAGTCCTGCTATGCAAAGCGGAATTACTGGCCCTAAACTTTCAGATTTTCTGACTTGAGGACTTTTATAATAAAATAAATCTTATATTTAGAGAAATTAGATTCATCGCTCATATACAACAATAGGCTACTTGATTTTGCGTTGATACAAATAGTCACACACAACAGTATCATTCATTTTCTTTTTATTCAAGAGTAATGTTTCTACCATTACAAAAAAATAAAGAAAATTTATACTTAACAAATTTCCTTCCTTTTTTCAGGATGATATTACATTCAGTAATTTAACAATTAATAGGTAATTATCATTGCCATTTAAGTGAAATTACTGAACTTAAATATACAAGTTTGATAAAAAAATCATCATTAAAGAAGAAAATTTCAAATGGCATTTAGAGGCTTTTGCATCTGAACTCTTCAAATAATTAAATATTAAACATGTCAAAGTGACTGAACACCACAACAAGCTTCTAAACGTGATGGAGAGCGGCTATTTTGCAGTGTTATGTTAGACCAGGAGGGCAAAAAAGAACTTGGTTTTCTTTCCTACTTTTTATGTTTTTCGCATTTACACTTGTAGACAGTGTGTATATAGTGTGTTTGTGTATTTAAAAAAAAATCAATTTCAATTTATTTTCAACAGTAATTTGGGTCACATAGCATCCTGAAGGGCCCTTTTGCCTTTCATACTCTGCACCCTTCATAACAGTGTCTTTGGTCCTCAATATATCTTTGTGCACATCTCTTTTTTCTTTTCTCATGTTCTGGTCACCACGACTTCACATGTGCTGGATCAAACTGTTCTTGCACAACTCTGTATGTTTGTATGTTCTGTTGTATGTGACTTATTTTATGAATGGTGCAAGATGTTATCTTGGTCACCAGGTTTGCTTTCTGTGTGTGTTTCAAATGACTTGTTATACACAGTGCTACTCTTATGCCCATTCATGTCATTAAAAACATTAGTATAGTGGAGCTTCATTGTGTTCCACAGTGATTTTATTTTAATATAGAATGATACTTGAAAAAAAAAACATTTCCAGATCAATATATTTAACAAGTAATTGAATATAGAGACTTGGGGTTGGACTCTTGTGATTTAAACTAGTAACAATCAGCTAGAAACAAGAGCTGTACGATTTGGGGAACATTTTATTTAAAGGATTAGTTCACTTTTAAAAAACTTTTGCTGATAATTTACTCATCCTTATGTCATCCAAGATGTCCATGTCTTTCTTTCTTCAGTCGAAAAGAAATTAAGTTTTTTTGATGAAAACATTCCAGCATTTTTCTCCATAAAATGGACTTTCAATGGACCCCAACCATTTCAAGGTTCAAATGAGAGTTTCAGTGCAGCTTCAAAGGGCTTTAAACGACACCGGACGATGAATAAGGGTCTTATCTAGCGAAACGATCGTCATTTAAAAAATAAATAAAAAAGTTTAAGTTTTATAAGCACAAATGGTCGCCTTGCTCTGTTCTGTGATGAGCGTTCGTGACTCTCCTGTTCAAACTCATTCATCAAAATGAACAAATCTTTTTTCGAGTCATTTCGTTCGTTGAATGGCATCGTCTGGTGTTATTTAAAGCCCTTTGAAGCTGCAATGAAACTGTCATTTGGACCTTGAAATGGTTGGGGTCCATTGAAGTCCATTATATGGAGAAAATCCTGGAATGTTTTCATCAAAAAACTTAATTTCTTTTCGACTGAAGAAAAAATGACATGGACATCTTAGATGACATGGGGGTAAGTAAATGATTTCAATTAATGGTGAAACCCTACTAGAAACACACTAGTATCCTAGCCACCCAGAATACACAAGTGAATGAATTTAGTCATCAATTTGTTTTAATAGGCTTCACTTCATCTGGTGTTTGTGTGTGTTCATTTGTGACTGTATATTAAAGCTACGTGTTAGTTAGCAAAGCATGTGAAGATCACGCCCTGCTCTTAGTCAAGCACTGAACATGCTGACCTTCCCATCACCCTGTATGACTCACAGATGAGATGACTGGATGTGTGGCTGAGTAATACAGCATAACCTTGGCTTCTCCCAGGAATAAACCTGCAGCTCAATTCTGTTTTGTTTTTAGAAAAAGATTGAGTCAAGCTGCGGATTTTACCAACCTAGATTAGAATCTGAGGTTGTTTCTGTTGTCCGCAGCCCGCTGCTCTTTCTTTCTTTTTATACCTTCTTTTTTTTCCGGATTTTTCCTCTCCTCTGGTGTAATTGTACCCCTGTGGGGTAATTACAGACTCTGTGCTCAGGAGGAATTGTCATGTAACTCTTTCTCTCTCTATAAGGGTCAACACCAGCCCAAGTGTTTTAACACAGTCCAACAAGCGATAGCTGCAGTGTGGCCATGTAAGTGGTCTTGGCAAACTAAGAAAAACCTGTCAGACAAATCAAACTGCCAGTTTGTAATGACTCTTGTAATGAGCACATGGTGCTAAATACATTTTTTTTGTTTGCTATATTGGCCATCTCTTGCAGGGTTCAGAAGAAAATCAGAACAGTGTCATTTCAATTTATGAGTGTAAGTTTGAATTGAACTGGCCATGAACCACATGATGTTGAAAGGGAATTTAAATTGGGATGACGACACAGTCCCAAAAGGGAGGAATTTCATTAGTCCAACACAAGTTTTGTGACAAAACATGCAAAATTACAGCACTCTTTTTTTAATTGATATTAGAGCCAGACCGATATTTCGGCAGGCCGATATTATCGGCCGATATTAGGCATTTTCCAAACTATCGGTATCAGCAGTTATAATAGCCGATAAATGAATATTTGTTAAAACGGACGAAACACGCTTCAACCATGTCATGTCATGCTGGAACCATGTGACCATGTCACACTTGTTGAGTTGGTCGTGATACATACATTGCTTGAATAGCAATTAAAAGAACATCCCCATCAGTTCTCTTAACTCAAATAAGCGTGACAAAATTTGTGACTATCACGTCCAGTTTTGCTGCTGTTAAATAAGCCGAGAGTGAAGCGGAATTAGCTAGTTTTAATGACGTTACGTTGTTAAAGTGTAGTTACTGACTGTCCTTTTAACTTTTGACAATGTGACTGAAGTATTTCTTTCATAGCGCGTGACAGTTATAGCAATGAGGCGTATCATCTCTCCTTGGCCTGTTATATTGAAAATGTATGTTTTACAATTAATTTACATTATGACGTTATCCATTGCTAAATTATGGCTCATCATAGACTAGCTAACCACAAAGCTAGCAAATGCCACTATCATCAGCCTGTTCTGTTGTGACAATAAAAGAAACAAGCTTCTTTTTAAAATGCATTATCATATTATTTTAGATAAAAATCATAAATAACTAATGTTAGGGAAATCTGTTAATGTTTCTGAAATAAAAAAATAAAAAATATCGGCCGATATATCGGAATATCGGATTTTAAAACCAAAAAATATTTGTATTGGTGTCGGCCTTCAAAATCCTTTATCAGTCGGGCTCTAATTGATATAATTATGTCTGTTATGTGCTTATATGAATAATACAATTTTCACAACTGGTTATATTGTTTTTCCATGAACCAAGTTCTGGACTATCAAAACACTTCTTTATATAAATATATATTAGAGCATTCTGGACAGTGAAGTTGTTATCCACCATGGTTGTTAATGTAAATTGTATTCATTGTAAAATATATTAATATAATTGCATAATAAAATAAACAGAGTATATATAATTTTAATTCTACAGTGAAAACATTCTCATTACAAATTATATTATCATCAAAATCCTTTGAGTAAAAGTGACCTTTAGAAATGTAGGGAATGTACTGTAAGTTCATTAAATTTCAATAATTAAATTGGGAAGGAAAAACTGTTCAATTGCATTCATTTAAATGTTTGGAAAAGGAAAAACTGTTGTCCCAAAAATTCTGTCATCATTTATCTCTTGTCTTTCCAAACCCTAATGACTTTCATACATATGTCTTGGGTTTTTGCCCACGAGTCAATGGTCCAGATTACCAACATTCTTCAAAATATCTTCTTCTGTGGTCTGCAGAAGAAAAGAAAGTCATGAATGTTTGTAATAACATGAGGGTGAGTAAATGATGCCATTTTGTAGTGAACTGTTCCTTTTAAGTACTCTGTGTCACTGGACAGTTGCTAAGATCGGGTTGTACGGAAAAGCTTTTAAGGTGGGGCTTTAGCAAAGAGTAATTTTTCATTCAATTCTCTTAGTAGCTTATGTTGGTAGGTAAGCTGTGCTTTATAAAGGATGACCTTTTCAGCGTGCAGTCTTCTCCCAGCAGGGCCGATGAGTCTCAAGGGCTTGTAGTGTTGAAGGTTTGGCTCCAGGGTTCACCTGTCTGGGGCATCAGGGCCAGCACCTCAGCACCTGTCTGCCCTTATCCTGGATAGCACCTTTACTTTGCTCTGTCACATTTCCACTTCCATCCACCATAGATTCCAGTCAAGCAATTTATTGTGATACTGTGGTGTAGGTCTTATTCAGCTCTGAGTCAGTGATCCAATAAATATGAGTTCACAAGCTCAGGTAGACGAAGGAGAAGTTTTGTGATCGAATGGGTGATTGACTGGGAACTGAAGACAATAAGATAATATTCCCACTGTGTAAGTGCTTATTTTTTTCATTTATACTCGAGTACAGGCCAGGGTCCTGATCTGCCGATGTGGTCACTCTTGTGATTATAAAAAAGTTCATTTAATTATATTGAATGTGGAGATGTAGTATATGTCAAATCTTAAAAGTACATTTTTAATAAGATAATTTATATTAATGAAATTAAAAAACACTTAAGTACACTTTAATGGCTGTTTCTTGATGCACTTTTAA